GAATACGATGACCTCCTGTCTGGTTCATCCACAACCGATCCTGCGACAAAGAAGAACCGCTTACATCATGGGTTCCCATCTTGTACATTCGATTCAGATGACGTCAATACTGCCATGAAGGAAAACCGGCTCCACCATGGGTCCGTATCTGAGAGGTTCGATTCGTATGACACGGATAGCATGTGGAAGGAAAACCAGTTATACCATGAGATCTCATATAGTAAAATCCACTCACATGACACCGATCTGATGAAGAAGGAGAACCAGTTGCACAATCAGTCCCAAGCCCAGCCTACAAGTGTACGACAGGCTCATGTTCACCGACCTCCCGTCTTACCACGTGGGTGGAAGCCTCCAGCAGATCCAGAGCCGGACCGTGGAGCGGTATGTTTCTCTTTCTTTACACAATTCTCTCTCCATGAATACTGATAGATCATTTATCATAGACATATACTATCCCAAATTACAAGGATATCTTGCTATGGCCTGCCTCATTGAAACATTATATTGCGCGGTCATTCGAGGATATTCTGCCAGAAGAATGGGATCCCACTTACAAAGAGCTCCATGCCATTATTTTGGAAGCTGTCAAAGATGATGTGCACCTATGTGTTGATTGGGACAAAATGCCACTCCCTAATGTGATCCGGCACGACATTCGGGTTGCAGAACTTAGAAAGCTGAGAAATGAAATCGAAGAGCTTGATGAGTTGCAAAGAATTGAGGAGGAGGAAAGGGAAAGGGTGTGGGAAAGGAGAAGAATGGAAAGAGAGAAGATGTGTACACCAAAGGAAGAGAATGCAGGCACTCACTCAGCTCCCAATACCGCGATAAAACGTGAAGACTTTGAATCCGGGTTGGAGAAAAAGCAGAACGGACAAAGTGGTCACGGAGGTAGAAGGCAAATTTACAGGGGCCAGGAAGCAGTTAAAGATGAGATTTATTATTCTGATGATGATGATCGTCTCAGCAGGACATGTTCCAGACTTTCCGATAATTCAGAACTTGGTTATACACACGCCCTCCACCGAATGGACGCATCAAACCATTACGAATTTGCAGCAATGAGTGGTTTAGACTTGAAAGCGACAAAGTGCCCAAGTACGGATAACTCTCTTTGGGATATGGAGCAGCTCCGCCCCAGCGACTCGATTTCCCAGGTTGGGAGTCGGAACGGTTGCGAAGATTTACATGATATAGCAAGCACTTCTCGACGTCGGGAAACATTTACCGTAACCAATAACGAACAAACTTTGGGTATGAAGATTGTCTACACACCGGATGATAGCTTGGTATCTTCAATAGCTCCGGGTGAATGCGTCACTGTTTCTTCGACGCTCTCAAGTAATCACGATTCTGACGGAGGTGTACCTCTTCAGCACAATGATATCAGGTCTACAGGTTATTCTTCAAATGATGGAGCATATGCCGGAAGAAACTCGCATTCAGCTTGTATTAAAACTCAAGGATCCACTGATGCCCAGGGACCCGTTCATGCCCGGGGCCGCGGACAGAATCCTCAACAGATGGGAAGTGGGCGCGGTTCCTCACAAGCAGGAAGTCAAAGTAATAGTGCGTGGTGTTCCTATACTGCTCGCGACGTCGCTCGAAGTAACGCTCATATCGCTCGCAGACAGCCCTCCAAGACGCCATTTACAAATGTTACCAAGATGGAAACCATCGATCCGATAGAGGACGATTGCGATGATGTACTCTGAGGAGACTTGGACGCTATTTTCCTGTTGCTTGAGTGCATGTCGACTTGTAGGAAGATAAGTTCAGAGAGATTGGATTCCAGGTATATACATGTAAACCTATTTGTTCAGTCTGTCCATATACCACTCAGTAGAAGTATCTCCTCGAATAAACCCTGCAGGGGTCCCCATTCTCTAGAAGTTCTGTTTTTGTGCTCCCTACTTTAGATAATCCCTACCCTGGCATAGTGCGTAGAAAGTCCCGAAGCTTATGATATTGTAACCCATTTCCTTATTTCCATTTTTCTCCCTTGAGATCGACCTCGAACCGTGTAAGATAACCACCTCCGCACTGTGTATCAACAGCCTTGATACAATACTGAGCACGATGTCCTACACCTGGGATGAGTGGTACCTATGCGCCGTAACTTCGTTGGGCCCCAAGGGCGCTCAGTAGCAACGAACACTATACGTGTACCAGCATCGTGTCGCTCATATGCGGTGCAGAAGATATCCACTTTAATGCTCCCTGTTTAGACCCTCAGGTGACCGTATATATTCACTACAAACTGCCCTTTTATAAAACGGTCCTGCTTTCTTGATGACACCATACAAACCCCTTTTTGTGATATTCATAATGTACGAATAAAGTCTTCTTTCATATAAGCCTGCATGCTGATCGTATCGAAGAGACAATTTTAGAGGCTCATTGACTGGTAAGCTATTTAACCCGGCCGAGTTCCCGCTTACTGATATCTCTATGCTGGGGAAGCCCCTCGAGGACAAGAAACATGGAGTCTATATTCCTATGTTAGAGAGACCACCGAAAAAGCCAGGTGCACCATATCTCTGTAGGCAGATCTCGGATCTACACCATAAAAGGATCTCAATCAAAATAGTAACACATCTCACGGCTTAAATCCACACTTATGCCCAGTGCATAGTGGTGAAGCTAGTTGGTCTTGGTATAACACGACTTGGCAAAAATCTGTTGTGCGAGTGATATCCTGTGAGTATATTGAATTCCAAACCTTTCAATTTAGTTTTGCTGTTCGGTGAGTGATTTCTTTGACCTCCTTGTATTTTAGCACACTACACTCAGTAGGAAGACCTTACTAGCTTAAGCGTGGATTATAATCTACAATAGAACAACCATAAAATAACGGAGGTAGATGAGACACTACAATGATAATGGCGGTGGGAATAAATATGAATATGCGGTAGGTGGGGAAATCTCAATGTGTCTGTATATTGAGAAAGCAGGGTGGAGGTTGAGATAAGAAACAATTACTGTCGTTTGATAGTGATAGCCCGAAAATCGGAAGGAAGTGTGAATCACCGACTCGCTGGATACGCCGGCTTCACCAACTATTCTCGGAGATTGGTTGAAGGTTGAAACTCTTCGTATACGAGGGTTACAAGTCCGATCTTCGAACTTACAAATAGGAGATTTACATACTTTCAAGTCGGCACCGTCTCATGATTGAAATTAATTATATACATATCTTGAATGAGATTTTATACCCACCAGAATATCTAAGTGCGCAATATAAAATGGTCGAGCTATCTGCTCAAGCTTTAGTCTTCATTCAAAACAGGAAACTGCAATCATGGCCTCTACCGCATACAACTTCTTTTATGGCATCTATCTTGACCACAAGATTGAAAAGCTTCAGCGGCTCGTTGACAATGATCCTGCGATTGCTAGGCATAAGGACCTTGAGAGACGTATCCTAGAAATCCATCTTAAAATCGTTGAACACCTCGATGAGGCTGATGAGGATGCTGATGTGTGGGAGGTTAGACACCTACAACTAGTTTTCCAAAAGGAAGTATTGGAGGGGGTTCAAATTCCCTTGACTGAACACGCGAAGGAGTTACTTTCTGAATTGAGGAGGTTGAGGTCTTGGATGTGGGTATTTGAGCTGAAGTCGAATCGAAGGAGTGAATAAGAGATTCTCGGCGGAAGTTCGGGCATCGGTTTTAAAGAGACATGGAGCTAGGATTGCATATGAAGAGCGGTATCAGCCTATTGATGTAGTGAGAGGGATATATCAGATTGATAAGATTAATGAAATTTGTTGTCCGATTATCTACGCTGGGGCTTGACATTGCCCATAATGCCTGATAGAGGAAAGAAGACATCTAATAATTTAATTCAGTTCACATCTATAATCTTTGATACAGAATGGACAATACTACTAGTCCGTATATAAAGACACCGAGGCATCAATTACAAACAGAAAAAATGGTCGCCGCTGAAGGAAGTAACCGTAGGCATACATGTAGCCTTGAATTCTATGGTTGGTGATCGTAGTGGTTTGCTAAAGCTTTATAGCCGCGATACACCCGTATCTCGATCGGTGCGACACAAACTGCCGTACCGTGCCTACTTATCCGTTCAGACCATAGTCGGAAGCAGATCCAAGATATTGCCGCCGATGTAGTAAAGAAAACGCTGTCACCTGTCCGGATAGGTTGATGCTCCCCTACCAGGCTCAACCAAGTAATGTGGGGGAGGCGGTAGGATGTGGTCTTGAATTAAGCGGGTTTCTGATACTTATGTCAGTATCAACTTTCATATATCCTCTTCCACAAATCCTTCGAGTCTTTGTATTCTTTCACCTCCGGCCATAAGCAGTACAGGTGTTTTTTACGACCCGCGGGGGTAGAGAAGGAACAAAGTCGGTGGCGTATGTACATACCAAGTTAAAGCTCATACAACTTGAGCTCTAAGCCGTGCGGTATGCCACAAGCCCATGGTTGGGAGACGAGCGCCCTTTCCCCGTCTATTTTAGCACTCAAGCCCACCGACGGCTTAGTCGTGTGTCATCTCTAGCTCTGGGACAGGCGGTTCCTGTAGTGGGCGCTTTCGGACCTAGGCGTGGTAAATTAAATATTTTTCAAGACGTCCATGTCTGCAAAGGTGTTTGTCGAGAGAGGTTGCGCACTTGTCGTCTGGGTGAGACATGCGTCGGCAAGTCCCGAGGTCAATGTGTGTCCGTGCCAAGACTTCCGACAACTTGGCAATCACCACAGGGAGTAAACCACCAATCTCACAGCACGACATGCTATGGAACCACCAGCTCCTACCTCGTAGGAGGATTATTTCTACAGTTTCTTGAGTCGCCTTGATCGCGTTCATAGAATCATCAAAGGACAATCTCGAAACAATATTGGCATCATTAACACACGCCGCACACCATCGCCAGCTTCGAATCGCTGGCCATCAAGCAACAAGTCAATGATATCACCGACATGAAAATGGGCACCAGAGCTGAAGGAAAAAAAAGACATGAGGAATTCTGTCGGTGCCATGAATCGAACATGGGTCCTCTCGGAACAGCTGTTACAAGGATCGAATCCCTGTAAACCCACAACGAGAAGTACTAACCACTATACTACACCGACTTGTTGATGATGCGACGAAAACATATTATATAGTTGTTTCTAACAGTACAGTTAGTAACCACTCTTTTTTCACAACATACATTCCCGATCGTTTCGATGAGCCTTCTAATAGCTGAGCTCCGATCTGTGCTTCGGGTCTGGGAATTTATCACGTCGGGACTCGGGAAATGCGCCACTAAACGAACAAAGAGCGAGAGGTTCTTGAATTACTTTGAGATACAGGATTTCTCAATTAGCCCTCTGGGGGGTGATTAGCGGATTTGAACTGCCTGATGAACGGAGTGTTCTTTCACCTCACTTAAAAGCATGGCGGCAATAGCCATGTATGTATGGAAGCTAAAGGTCTCTTCTTTACTTACAAATACTTACAGCAACCCATACTGCCTCATATGTATGTATCCTTAAGCTATAGGTGCGGAAATTCCAACAAAGGTTGGGATTCACCAAGTAAGACCAGAGCAAAGGAGGTTTATTAGCAGGAGCAACACTATTGGTTCTGGGTGTCTTCGCCACTAACCGATTTGTGCACGCACAGAACCAATACGATGAAACCTCGAGAACTGTGGTCGAACGTAGATGCGGAGCCTTCATACGAGTATTAATACCATATCAGGGCGTTTTTGGCTCATGGATTGCCTCTATCTTATCATTACCGTACCTTCTCAAGGCCACTAATTCTCCTTAGGAGCATTAAAGGTAAGCGGTTAACTTGCAGTTCAATTGACATTTATTTTTCATCCTTGTCACTCGTAAATTTATCTAAATTCCTACTCAAGCTCATCTAAGTCTCGATCTCAATGTATCTAGACGCCTAACTAATCTATAACTTCTAGTTAATTCACCCCGCATCCCAACCACTTAATATCTTCCGCAATCCGACGCAAACCCCCCAACCCTAAACTCCCGAGTTCTTCTCCAAGGCGGAGGAACGGATTGCATGGATCCTCTTCGTATAAAGCTCTACGCAACTTCATAATTCTCACCATCGCGAGAATATTATTTGCCCTACATGTTAACGGCACACGTAGACCCTCCAACCTGGACTTCTGTAGGACATGTTCGGCATTCTTTGTGGTACACATCACAACATCGGCATACCCTTCCCCCATCGCTGCATTGTTTTCGGTGATCTGTGTTTTTTGTCTGCAACGAGCATGTCGAACGAATGTTTGTGGGTGATTCTGGCGTCGTTGGCAATCTCGGTCTCAAGCTTCCTAATTTTGAGCTCAATGTAGGCGGTGTATGCAATTCTGAAAGAAAGAAGATATGGCAGGCACTGGTTTAGTTGTGCGGTTGTATGGCGGGTGAGCTGGTATCGATGTTGTTGCTATTGTTTTAGAGTGGATATAGGTATAGGGTAACCTTATTAATGATATAGCTTGTGACGCCGGTGATTGTGAATACGCGGGGTTGTATGTTATATAACTGGGTACCGGATGACCGATGAAATACTTGTTGTGATAACTTGAGGAGATCGTTAGTCGCCCCCATGAAAGATTGTTCAAACTTTGTCTATCAGTTTACTAAACATGAGAATATTCAGCAGTGGGCGAAGAGAATTCAAGTAAGGAAGGCTCTATCAACCCTACCCCGAAGGCTCATTGGTCTTCTTTTATGGTAGTAAAACCGGGCGCCTAGCTCATTCCCCATCACTCTTTCATCAACAACAACCTTACCTTGAAAAATGACGCTTAGCCACCCAAGTGTTATAAGGGGGTGTCAATATTTAGGCCCGTTTCTCAACACTGTACTAGTGGCTCTCCGTAACACCAGCTATCTAGAGACTCCAACTAAGAGTCGCCTCTAATCATCTTTGCGAAAGACAAGGCACCGGCCGCTATTACACGGTGGAACTACAGCTAAGAGAGAAACAAGGCCATCACCATACTCACAACAAAATAGCTCACTACTTAAAAACGGACTCCTTCCCTCGTTCGGTGAAGGCCTTGAATAATGCTCAGAATGGTAAATCCCAAAGACGCGCACGTCACGGCGCCAGCTTTGTATCTGGCATTGAATCGAAGGTCCTCACGAGAAGCTCCTTCTCATACCCTATAGACAAGTACATGTGACTTCTTCGCTTCCCAGCTGTTAACCTGCCTCAATCATCTTGTTCATATACGAAGACTCTTCTCATTGAACGTTGGTCGGAGGAGGGAGATTCCGGTTAAGGAGAATGCGGGGGAGGGGGGGGGGGGGGGGTCGGACAAATAGAAGTACATTTACAGACTCGAACGGGTCCGGGTAGCTTTGAACGGAAAAACAACATTCATAAATTATCACTCGAGCTACGATTTTGATTTTTTAATATTTTATTTTTCTTCTCTTTTGTTAATTCATCGACCATAATCTTCTAATAGAATTCGTACATAACTTCGGGTTTCAAACCAATACTTTATTTCTCTTGCGAATTCTCTCAAACTATTCTTGGCAGAAAACCGCGGTGAGAGCACAGGTGAAATAAGGTATCGCATAGGCCGTCAAAGACAGCTACCCCGGAGGTGCTTTTATTGACTCAGTCTATCTTCTGGCTCGATGCATATCCCCTACTCAATCCCCATCATAAAGAAAGTTAGCTACTTACCTGTCACCGTTCTTACCTGTCACTATACCTTCTAGTCATCCGGAAGTGGGACCAAAATGTTGAGTGCCTCCGTCCCTCCGCATACATTCCAATGATATATTTCTTCAGCTGCAGCTTGTAGGCCCGAGCCTTCAACAGCTGCTTCTGCGACCTCTCGGCCAACGGCTTTCTCCTTCTCTCAATCACCGCCTGATCCGCAAGAAGCCGTCTATCCCTCATGACGGTCCATAGCCTCCGGCTATCGCCACATTGGAAATGCGTTTTGTTCTCCATGATCTTGATGTCGATCGCATCGATTTCTGCGTCGATCGCACGCTGGGCTTGATAAAATTCGTCTTTTTCTTGCTCGTCTTCGAGATATTTAATGCGCCTGTGCAAATTCTTATAGATTCTACACCTGAAATAATCATGATGCTGTTATGAAACCCGCCACATGTGTTGAATCTATAGCAAGGCTTGAAGTATCCAAACACTGGCTGTACTAGGTATAAACATGCCGCCTTTGAATCTCAGTCTCAGACAAGATTAGCCTTCTAACAAGCTCTATACCCACCCACAATTGAGACAGTCTCCATTACCGCTATGTAAATGTTTCCACTAGATTTTCAACAGTATCCCATGCTCTAGAATGTTCCTCATTATCATCAAGAGAGAGAGCTTGATTCTCTGTCTGTTCCCAGTAGGATACATACCACCTTCATACATCATCCTGATTCATTTAGCTCACCATGGCTTTGCTTGGCTCTCACAGAAGATCTTTCTTTATTGCGTGCAACACTTATAATACTCAAAAGCCTAGAATCTACTGCTAATTATGATTTTCGCAGTATTAATTCTATAATTTCAAACAACCGGTATTATAGTCTCATATAGCCCCCAAATAACCAATAACGCGTTCTCGCCTATTAATTCGGAGATAGAAGCCGCAACGATGATGTTTTTGGCAACTCACCGGCGGAGGTGGCACCACTGAAAATCAATACAGAATGCATGTGTAATGGGAGCCTGTATCGATCTACAAAACATTGGAAAGAATATATAGCATGTTAAATCGCAGTACCTAAACCCGTACACATTAACAGATGGACGAAAAACAAAATGAAATTGTAATAATAGAAAAAATTAACTTAAATCTATCTATATATCACAGTTCTAAGACCATAAGTGCCGTGGCCAGTGTGCGTGAACGATGTCGACGTAAATACGGTGCTTGCACCTCCGCAGATCCAGATTCCACCTTAAATACATGTATGTGCTCGTTGAGCATTTATATAATTAAGGAAGTCCCCACGGGACAGCGCCCAGCTAGTGCTTTATCGCGTGTAGGCGCATATATACAGCTATGGGCACCATTTCCCCCCCGCCCTCAAGGCTCATAAACCTTCTGGAAAATCCGAATTAATTGATGTTAATTCATGAAATATCACTCGATCGAATCTCACAATCACGGGGGAAGTTTTTTTTTGTCTAATTGATTAATTACATGCATACTTTCGGTTACATTACTAATCATAAGGGAGATTTTTTTTGTTTAATTCATTACATGTAATTACATGCAATCTTTCGGTTACGTTAATAATTACAAGGGAGGAGATAACGCGCCAGGTCCCAAAATGCTCGTTAAAGTCCCCAAAGAAGCCCCCAAGATAGTATCGGTTCGCACGGTTTGAGTATAATTTTCAAGATGCTCTTATTATGTAATTAATGAGTGGGACAAAAGGGATCAAGGAAACCCGACAAAGGGGATCCGTCCCTGCCCTAGTCTTTTCATGGACTATGCCTTTGTAACGCGGATCGAAAATCACATGATACCGTGAATCCCGCAGGTCCGAAACGAGACGAAACGTTCTAGGTGCATGATTAGAGTCTTTCAGTGCAACCCTATAATCCATCTTAAAGGTGAAAGGAGAATTCATGCAGCTATGATTGCGTCCGCTTCTGCAGCTGACATGTCACTTTCTGATGAATACTCAATGATAAACACTCCGTCCTCAAGCATTTTTCAGTCAACATCTGTGTTTATCGATAGTTCAATGTGCTAAGGACAGGCTCTTTGCTACAGGAGTTTCCTTTTCATCTTGAAAATGGAAAGCAGGGATCAACTGAAAGCCTCTATTCTCGGCCTCTTGAACCTCATCTTTCACTCTTCTCTCTCTCCCATTCCTTCATACCAAAAACCATTGACCTCTGCCCTCTAGTTATAATTCCCTGCTCTCCAACGTTGACCCCGACTAGTACCTCATACATGCCCAGAGAGTGCAGCAATTTCTTGCCCTATATGTATGCGATTTTACGTCATCACTACATGTAGTCTATTGTAATTCTATCATTCCTTTGTAGTTTTCTCGTATACATCTGAGACCTCTCCACTGATACGGCTTACTCCTGATTCCGGCGTTCTAGGCGTTTTTCGTAG